TACATGCCACGTGTGGAGTCATCCTACAGAAAGGCAGCTGTCAGGTGAATCAGGGCAGCATCTCACTCAGTAGGTCAGCTGCTTCAAGGGGAGAGATGGCAAGAGGTACTTCCAAAGATAAGGGCCAGGCTCACAGCTTCTGTCTGCCAGAATTCTCTATAGGGTGGTGGGAATTACCATCACTAAAAGGCTTTTTCAAACCCCACATGCCACCATCCCATGCCAGTAACTTTTCCGTGAGCTGGCTATTACTGATAGAAGTGGGCTGCAGCTGTCAAATATGCTATGCTAGGATGCAAAAATACAATTAAGGGAACCTCTATCTTAAAAGGCCAAGGGAGGAAAAGGACAAATAAAACATGCAGGAAATTCTGCCAAAGACTTGCTTATAATACTTTAGGGTATTGGCCAAATCCCTTAACAAAAATCAATTAAAACTACTCCTTTCTCCCCCAGATTCTGCCAACAGTAGAATCCCATTTGGATAAGCACTTACTTAATAATGTAGTTACTTCTCTCTTACTCCTCTTAGCTTATTATCATCATTGATCCACATCTAGGACCCTTACTCTACAAGGGAAAAGCCAAATTTCCTTCAATACTCCATCAAAGACACATTCAGAACATGTCCTGGCACATATCCAGGGGCTCCAACGTCAAATCTGCGAGGTTACAAACCACTGTGTGTAAAATAAACAGGCTACAAGGATATGTTGTACAGTGCAGGGAATACAGCCAGTACATAATAGTTATAAATGGAATGTAATCTACAAAATTGTGAATCACCATGTTGTACACCTGACGTACTGTAAATCATCTACACCTCAATTTAAAAATTAATTTTAAAAAAACTTGTGAGAGATGCTCCTGATTTTATTAGAGCCCTTGTCCATTAACAAAAGATGAGAGCTTGCCAAGCCAGCAGAACTGGCTTAGTTGGTGAAACAAACACAATTCTCTAATAACTGCAAGAAAAATCTTGTGCTATGAAGGCTTCCAGTGCAGAAGAAACAACTTGCATTAAGTAAAAACAAACACACACAGGACAAAGACTCCTCTCTCCCCAGAACCAGGTCAGAGAACTAAAGCCATTTAACATTTGTCTTTCACAAGACTAATACTGGAAGTCCACCCGCACTACTTGGTCAGGCCATTTAATAGCATGGGCAGAGAAATCTTTAGATTTCGTACTCTGATGCCCTTCATACTCCCAAGAATTCCCTTAATAATTCTGCCCAACTCCCATTGTCTAACAGACCCTTCTCTAAAGGTTCGCTGATTATTCAATGAAGAAGACTGAAAAGGACACCAGTTCAGCCTCAGGAAAGAACTGAGTCCTAATTTTTCTTTCAGAGAAATTCTTATTGTTCTTTAATAGTTGCTAAACACCTATTTATTATGTGCATATGAAGCCTATATTACTGAGTAAAATATATAGGATCTGTCCCTATACTACTTTCTCAGGAACTAGAAACTGTTTCCTCACTTCCACTAGGAGTTCTTACAATGCTTTGTTTCAGGGATTTACAAAAATCTTTTCCTAAGTCATTTGAAAAAAAGACATAGGACAATAAACCTAGAGAAAATAGTCTAAAACAGACTATAGCTAGTTTTGAAGTCACTTAAAAATAATCACTAGTTAGGGACTTCACTGGTGGTCCAGCGGTTAAGAATTTGCCTTGCAATACAGAGGACGCAAGTTTGATCCCTGGTTGAGGAACTAAGATCCCACTTGTCAAGGAGCAACTAAGCTCACGTGACACAGCTCGAGAATCTGTGCTAGATCCTGTGGACTGCAACTAAGACCGATGCAATCAAATAAATACATATATATATTTTAAAAATCACTAATTAAAAAAAAAAGCCCAAACACATACACATACATATTAAATATAGTTACAAACAAAAAGGACTGCACATGGCTTTACTGGCCCAACAGGAGGGGATCACCAAGCAGTCAACTGAGACACTTGAAAAAACACAAATTTCCAGACCCACCCCACCTCTGCTGACCCAGAATCTGCATATAGGCTGCATAAACGTGCAGTGTGAACAAGCCACCCCAGGTGATGATGCTCACTGTGAACTTACTTACAGATCTTTTAAAATGATAACATGCTAAAAGAAATTATAGGAATTCAGGCAAGTTCAGCGAAGAGCTGGAAAACAGATCCTAAGATCTGCTGCTAAAGTTGTCTCTCTACTCTTTTTAATTTCACTCAAATCCTATTCAACTCTATTACCTCAGGCACCAAAAACAGGGCAGAAGGAATTACTCTGTGGCTTTAGGGAGCCCCACCAAGTCTGGTTTCCTGCCTTCTGCCCACCTGGAATGTCAGCCTTCCCTTCAGATTACCTGCTTATCTCAATGCCTCCGCACACCCACGCATTTCAGCGGCTACCAGTCTAAAGACCACCAGAAAGAACAGTACAATCACTCCACCACTAGCACCGGGTGAGGCGTCGCTCTCCACTGTTCATCTCTGATTCATCTAGTAAGCCATCAGGGAATTGCCATTACTTTGGGTAGCAAAGAATCAAAGAAGTTCAGAGAGTTTGCCCTTAACAAGTTTTGGTCTTTAAGCTTAACTAATACTTCAAAGGACAAAACTGACTCAGTTGTGCAGAACCCAGTTTCAGGCTTAACTTTACAGAAGAGATGTGTAGTGGTGTGGGCTTGCTGTAAAGTGTCTTGAAAAAGTCTAGAAATAATCTAGAAACACTTTTGGATTGACTTACCTAAAGTTATCAAACAGCTTAGAGGAATAATTCTCAAAGATACAAGAAGCAGGGCTGTCCGTCACTTTGGTATTAAGAATGCAGAAGTTAATTGGAGGATCTACTCTAATTCCCAACTCAGATCACCTATGAAAAGACAGTATTTACAGCACAAAGCGAAGGCACCCATAGCTAACACTAAAGCCACTGCTTACTAGAAATTCATTCAGATAAACAAGAAGTCAAATAACCTTAAGGCTCTGAATGAGGTGGTCTCTCCAACTCAGGTGCTCATTAAATTACCTGACAGTGAGCAGGGTAGAACAGAACAATGATTAGCTAGTCTCCTAGCAAGGTTAAAAAGTTTTCTCAGAAAAGCGAATTACACCTGACTTTGAGAATCAAAGTGGTAGGCTAGAAGACTATTTTTGCCTTCTAAAGCCTACCTTAATAGCAAAAGAAAAACTGAGCACCATTATTAAACTGTAGGCTAATCTGGAAAGTTCAGGCAGGTGCTAGCAATGCTGTCAGATTGAAAGACTTCTTGGTATTCTGGCTATACTGCTTAAATCTCAGGAAGTTTCCACTCCTTGGTCTGTTGAACTTTGTTATAAGGGTCGAAAGCCTTAGAAGGGCTTCCAATATACAGGTTTCAAGGATCCTCGGGTCCAACAGGAAAGTAAACAAAACAATAATGATCACTACAATTAGGTTGCCTTGTCAATTCAAAAACTTTCTGAGTTTCTTTCCCCAGAGGTTTAAGAGAAAAACTAAATTCAAATGTAAATTCCAAAGGCTGTTTCAAACTGTAGAGTTAGCAGCTCTGGAATGAGCTAATTATAGTATCTCCTGTTCAGCCAAAACACTATCCAGAACTTGCTTCTTTTCCCAAGAGGCTTCCTTTCCCTGTTCCCTGGTAGTGGAAGGAACTGTCAAGTAAGACAAGTATCTCCTAAATGGTCAGCCTCCACCATGCTGCTGAGTACCTGGAAAAGCCTGTAAATGCTACAGGCTTTACCTTATCTGCCAACCATTCAAGATAACACACTGTAAAACAAAACCTTTCGAGGTTTTCCCTTTCCTCCCCTTAGGTGCTGGCAGCTTTAATTTGTCTGCAGAAGAAAAAAGTTTAAGTTCTTTGCCAAAGTCAAGGTCACTTGTGGGACTGTCCCTGCTTGGATTAGAAGGCTGGGACCCCTCAGCACACCAGTCTGTTTAAAGTACCCAGTTACCCAGAGACAAAAGTAATTTTGGCAATATGAAATTGAAAACATTGTGTAAGCAACAACATTCCTTATAATCCCAACAACAGCAAGTCAAATAAACGGCCTCTCATGGGACTTTCCTGGGGGCTCAGACTCCACGCTCCCAAAGCAGAGGGCCTGGATTCCATCCCTGGTCAGGGAACTAGATTCCGTGTGCTGCGGCCAAATAAATTTTTTAAAAGTAAAGGGGTCTCCCCAAAGAGGAACCTTTCTTAGGTAGAACAGATTTAAAAACAACAGTAAAACTCAAGTGAACAAGTAGTAGGACCGGCCATGTAACCTTGGAATTACTATCTCCCGCCCAGTCATCTTCACTTATCAGCCTGCAGTTTATAGGGACAAGTTTTCTCCAATCACATGCGATAATCATGCAGAAGGTTCTACACAAACCCTCCACCCCACCCAAGCTCCTCCTATATAGAGTAACTGCAAAAGTCCCAAGGACAAAGAGGACCCGAGTCGCATTCCTCCAGAAGGAACTAGTATATGCTTGGTCACTAAAGGTTGAAGTATCTGGGCTGGAGAAATGGAAGCCGGCAGTTCTGAAACTGACAAGGGCCTCTCTACCTAGTCGAAGCTGAAACTAGCCACGGCTCCGGCTCCGGCCCAGGATAGAGTGAGCACATCTGCTCACCCTTGCCACTTCTCTTAGCCAGCCCCTTCTTCCAAACAAGCTCTTTCCCTAATCCCAGTGGAATACATCTACGTTCTTCACTCCTTTTTCCAAGGCCAAGCACCCCCGCCTCTTCCACCCTTGACACGCGGGGTGACAGCTCGGTCCGGCCTTCCCACCGGCCCAAGACCTCAGGCCAGGGCGGGCAGCACTCACTTCACCCCCAATGGGCCGGAAGGCACAGAGCCCCGGGAGCTCCAAGCAGGGCAGGCGGCCAGCCAAGCGCAGGGCCCCTTTAAGACGCGCTGGGGTGCGCCTGGGTAGGGGAGGGAGACCCCGGGCTTGAGGGCCTGCAGTCGCCTCAGCCCCACCCTGGAACCGCGCGGTCCCTCCTAGTTGCTCACCTTAGCTCCGAAGAGCCGGGCGGCCGCAGTGAGTAAAGCCATGGCGGGCGAACTCGGGGAGCTGCCAGGGAGGGAAGAAGGGATGAGAGCTGCGGCAGGAACGGGAGGCGGCGCCGCTGCACCAGAGGCCGCGCGGACGAGGGGAACAAGGTTGAAAGGAGGAGACTGAGGGAAGGAGTAGAAGAGCCGGCGGCGGCGCCCAGCCCGGGGTCCTCGGTGAGGCCCCGCCCACCGCCCGGAACCCGCTCCCGCCCCCTCCCGCGGGGACACGCCTCGGGCTCGGCCATTGGCCCAGCGTGCGTGGGGGGGCGGGCCCTAAGCCACTGACAGCAGTTGTGGCGGGGAGGATTGGACCGTCCGGGGTCGGCTAATTGAGGGCGGATGGGCGGGGGGAAGCGTGTAGGTGGTTAAGTATGTGCCTGAGAACTCAGTTAACTTCCTTCTTAGGCTTTTCCCCTTGCCCTTAAAACGTTTAGGGTTCACTGTAAGGTGGCTATTAGAAAAGAAAGCTCCAAGGACTTTGACCTTTGAAAGGTCCTCGGAAGCCAACCCCTTAATACTATCACGGCAACTGATCCCACTCCATTGGCATGCTTTCTTGATCAATGTCATTGGTTAGTGACTTAGTGGCCATAGAGGTGACATCATGAGGACACAGGCTATGATGCCAGAATTAGCTACTTGGAAATCACTTGCGGTAAGCAGAAGCCGTGGTATTATAGATACCAACAGATCCCAAAATGTGGAGAAGGAAAGCAAAGGCAGGAACCCGAGTATTGGGTGGTCTTTGCCGGCAGGCAATTCTGTGATTACTGCCAGGAAACCCAAGTCTTAGGAAGTGTTATTTGCTCAGTCCTGTTCCACTCTTTGTGACTGTATGGACTGTAGCCCGCCAGGCTCCTCTGTCCATGGAATTCTCCAGGCAAGATACTAGCGTGGGTTGCCATTCCCTCCTCCAGGGGATCTTCCTGACCCAGGGATCAGAACCCAGGTCTCCTGCATCGCAGGCCAATTCTTTACCATCTATCAGACAAAGCAACTCTTACAAAGGCCCCCTTAATGTGAGAGCTTCCAGAGCAGTCCAGACCCTCTGGGTTCTGGGCATTAGCGTCATTGCCACTCCCGTCACATAACCCACACAACCAGTCCACACCACATATAACCAAAAGATCAGGAGCTGCAGAAGAACCCTTCACCCCAAATCATCTCCTTTTTTGTTACATCACTCCTGTTACTCTCATAGGGCCTTTGGGCCTTTACACGTACTTGGCTGTCTTCTATATACTCTTATCCTGTGCTCCCCAGAGACCGTTAAATGAACCATGGCACTGAAGTGATCTTCTGTGTCATTCTTGACTAATTCTTCTGGGTAGACAAGAACTTAGAACCTTTCAATCTCTATAAGCTACCACTGTCATTGACCCGAGGGCAGAGAGGAACTGACCCACACCCCAGATGAACAGTCCTTTTATCTCCTTACATAGAAGTAACAAAGTTCAGAGGTCTCAGTACCATCTAAGCCAGGTTTAGCTAGATCCCATTTATAAAGAACCTAGTTTATAGCTTGAACTTGGAAAGAGAGAAAAGAAAAGTCATTTCCTCTTGCCAGGTTTATTTATACTTAGCTTTACACCTACCAAGCAATGCTTCTTTGGCTTGGGGATCAGATCCTAGGAAAGAACTTCATAAATAGTGCCCCAGAGGAGCACTGAACTTAGCTATCTCCTCGGTGACTTCAAAGCTCCACTGATCAATACTTGCTCCCAATTTAGCATCTCACAGAGGATTTCCTCCTAACCCTAGAATAGTTTGACCTGGTTTCTTCTCTCTGGTTAATCATCCACAGAGACTAGCCTGCAGGCCAGAGGACTGCACTCCAGTGCCCCGACAGACAGAAGGCATTCTTAGGGTGAGGCGACCCAAGGGATAATTACTGAGTGGCCATGAGGGTAACCTATTTTGGAGCTCTAATGATGAGAGGAAGAGTGGGGAGCAATAATGCTTATGGTTTCCTGGAGCCTAGTGTCATGGGCCTTTATGGACTTGTTAGGGGAAACACACTGACTGAAACCGCCCACCCTGGCCAGGCACCATAGTAACTATTTGTGTGAGTTATTTTACGACAGGAGGTCCTACTAAGGAACACGGAACTAATGAGCCATCACCAACCAGAAGAGTTCAGGAAAGGTTAAAAGGAGGCACCACACATCCGACCACCTCCCAGAAAACTCACTGGCATTCAGAGCAATGTGTGTGCCACCAAGATGAACCCTGAGTCAGAATGATTGTCCAAGGACAAGCCAAAAACTAACCCCATCACCATAAAACCTGAGACTTGGAGCCACGGGGCAGAGCAGCCCTCCTGGGCCCCCCGGCCTACGGCTCTCCCCCCGGGCGCCCCTTTCCAATGAAGCCTCTTGCTTTGTCAGCGTGTGTCTCCTCGGACAACTCATTTCTGAATATTAGACAAGAGACACTTTTCGGGCCCTGGAAATGGTCCGCCTTCCTGCAACAGATTTATTTTGAGGTTGCTCAGTCCTGACACCCATTGCTATAAGATCAGTGGGAAAATCCAGGGATCAAAGGGACTGAATGGTATTTTCCAGGAACTGGCTTAGTCTTTTCTCTGAAGCTATTTGGGATCTGCGGAGGTAGGGGAAAAAGTTGAAGGAGGATTAGCATGAATAAAGCAGCCAAGTGAATTTTAGGTCCAAATACAGCTAAGTGTCTGAAAAAACTGGAGGGGACAAGGGAGAGAAGACTGAGAATTGAGGTCATCTTGACCTTGGGAATGACCTCTTTAAAATGGACAAGGGCAATAGTGCCCTCTGGTGGCCAAGGATAAGTAGAAGCATGCACCCTAAAAATTCATCAGTAAACCAAACTGCAGAAAAACATCTGCTTAACTGACTATGCTAAAGCCTTTGAATGTGTGGATCCCAACGAACTGTGGAAAATTGTTAAAGATATGGGAATACCAGAACACCTTACCTGCCTCCTGAGAAAGCTGTATGCAGGTTAAGAAACAACAGTTAGGACCAGACATAGAACAACAGACTGGTTCCGAATCGGGAAAGGACTATGTCAAGGCTGTATATTGTCACCCTGCTTATTTAACTTATATGCAGAGCACATCATGAGAAATGCTGGACTGGATAAAGCACAAGCTGGAATCAAGATTGCAGGGAGGATTATCAACAACCTCAGAGATATAGATGACACCACCCTTATGGCAAAAAGCAAAGAGGATCTAAAGAGCCTCTTGATGAAAGGGAAAGAGGGGATTGAAAAAGTTGGCTTAAAGCTCAACATTCAAAAAACTAAGATCATGGCATCCAGTCCCATCACTTCATGGAAAATAGAAGAGAAACAATGGAAACAGTGACAGACTTTATTTTCTTGGGCTCCAAAAATCATTGCAGATGGTAATTGCAGCCATGAAATTAAAAGATGTTTGCTCCTTGGAAGAAAAGCTCTGACAAACCTAGACAGCATATTAAAAAGCAGGGACATTATTTTACCGACTAAGGTCTGTATAGTCAAAGCTACGGTTTTTCCAGTAGTCACTTATGGATGCGAGAGTTGGACCATAAAGAAACCTGAGTGCCGAAGAATTGATGCTTTTGTACTGTGGTGTTGGAGAAGACTCTTGAAAGTCCCTCAAGAGTCTGCAAAGAGATCCAACCAGTCCATCCTAAAGGAAATCAGGCCTGAATATTCACTGGAAGGACTGACGCTGAAGCTGAAACTCCAATACTTTGGCCACCTGATGGGAAGAACTGATTCATTTGCAAAGACCCTGATGCTGGGAATGATTGAAGGCAGGAGAAGGGACAACAGACGATGAGATGGTCGGATGGCATCACTGACTCAATGGACAAGTTTGAGCAAGCTCCAGGAATTGATGATGGACAGGGAAGCCTGGTGTGTTACAGTGCATGGGGTCTGGGTCGCAAAGAGTTGGACACGACTGAGCAACTGAACTGAACTGAAACCAAACTCCTTTATTTAATAGGTAACAACTAAAATTTGTTGAGTACTTACTATTTCCAGATACTGTGTAAATGTGGTACATGTATTACCTTAATTGATCCTCACAACTCTAAGGAATGTAGGTAATACTAGTATCTTTACATAGGAGGAACGCAAGGTTTAGATGAAGTATCCCACTCAGGATCATAGCTCATAAGTGGCATTGCTGGAATTCAGACCTAAGTTGGCCTCACTCCAGAAGCTGTATTGTAACTACTAAGCTGTATTGTTTACATGATGATGACTGTATATCATCAGCTGCAACTGAGGAAGGGGACTTTGAGTCACTGTTAACGTCTCTTGGGCACATCAGCTCAGTGGTATGTTTAAAGATATTTTAAAAGATAAGGAACTATAGAGAATTCCCTGGGGTTCAGTAATTAGGACTCCACACTTCCAGTGCAGGGGGCAGGGGTTTGATCCCTGGTTGGGAAGCTAAACAAACAAAAAGATAAAGAACTATAGTCTCATTCATCCTGTAAAACCTTCGTACACTCATACCTGAAATACGTGATAAATGATGACCTTCCCAGAATACAGGTAATAAAGGTGGAAGGGGCAAACATTTAGCACCTAAAGAGACCAGGAGGATAGAATGGGCTTCTTACAAGGAATAATCAGGCTGGAAAAAGGCTGAGAAGGGGATGTAGTGCTTTTCCACTGTACATTGTTAGATTCAGAGGATGTGTGTTCAAACTTGAAGGTAGTTTTCAAACAAATAAAAGAAGTACTACTTTACAGACCCACTAGGGACTATCTGCAGACCCCATTGGCCTAGGCATAAGCTGATCACTGGGGAGGAAGCCTTGGCTACCCCGCCCCTCTTTGAGCTTGTTTTCTGCATCTGCAAAATGGGAGTAATATCTAGTATTTCTTAGAGTTATAAAGAGTAAATAATTGTGTTATGTGAGTAAGATATTTCTTTTTCCCTTGTTATTCATTTTTGTCTTATATTTAAAGGATTTTTGTTCCTGCTCAGAATCCTTTTAGAGCAAAAAAAAAAAAAAAAAATCCTCTAAAACATAGACTAGATTTTCACATAATACATTTTCCTAGTCACCCTGGATCTCATTTAACACTGTCTTTGGGAATTCCCTGGCAGTCCAGTCACTGCCAAGTGCCTGGGTTTGGTTGGGGAACTAAAACTCCATTAGTTCAGTTCAGTTCAGTTCAGTCGCTCAGTCATGTCCA